ATTGCATTATATCCTGAGAAATTGCGTTTTTCGCGAAAACAAAAAAATCACATATATGTAAAAACTGAAAATTATTTATTTCTGCCAAAATCGAAAATTTTTGTTTTCCCATCAAACCGAAAAATTGCATTTTCCGCCAAAATTGTCATATTAAAATTTCCCGCGAAAATCAAGAAATCACATTATCCATTAAAATCCGAAAATTTACATTTCCTATCAAAACCGTGAAATTGTATTTTTTCGTCAAAATTGAAAAGTTACATTTCCCTCGCATTTTCTCGTCAAAACTAAGATATTTTATTTTCGCATCAAAATCAAACTTTTTTTCTCACCAAACCAAAAATTCACATTTTTCCGCTAAACCCGAGAATTCGCTTTTTCCGCCATAACCGAGAAATTATGTTTTGAAAATTACATTTTTCTACTGAAACCAAGAAATTCTCTATTCCTGCCAAACCCAAGAAAATTTGTTCTCAGTAACCACCGGAAATGCGAATCTCCAAGCTGTGATGGTCTGAGCTTCTCCTTATTTGCTTTCGACTTCTATTTTTTTGTAAACTTTGAGCTTTTTAATAGGTCAGCAAAATAGTAAACTGAATTTATTAATGTGTTAATGATATATATTATGTTTATGTTTTTATTGGTTTAAATTTTTACTGATGTGTGAGCTTCTTATAACATAACGTTTTTTGCGTTGTTGTTATAGAAGTATGGTTGATGATGAGTCTACACTTTTTTCAATCATAGACGTCTCTATCAAGCAAACACATAATTATAAATTTTAATTTTTTCCTATTATTTATTATTTGAGTTTTGGTTTGGTAAAAATATAAAACAAAGATTTAATTTTTTTTATTTGTTGTTATTTATTATTTGGATTTGGGGATGGTAAAAATAAAACAATTTTTTTATTTGCTGTTATTTATTGTTTGGATTTGGCAAAAAAAAACAAAGATTAACAAAGAAAAATATTTGGGTTTTTAATGGATTTAAGTTAAAAATAATAAAAGTTAGTAGATGATGTGTATTAATAAAATGTTTTTTCTGCTGAGATGTCAACTTTATAAAGCTTGAAAAAAACTGATTTGTCATCTCCTGGAAAGACACTTGTGTTATTGTTGTATTGATTAAACGAAGAAACTATAAAAAAAAGTAAAATTTATATGGGTGTACAATAGCATAAAAGTCGAACAACAATGTAATAGTAACATTAACTAACTGGAAATAACACATTCATGAATGGATGTATATATATATACATTCCTCATCTCAGAACTCAAGTTTTTCAACACTTGCAACATGTGATAATGCTCATGGTGGCTCAAATCCTCCATGAGAAAAGTTCTAAGCTCTCCATTGACCTCAATCACACTAAAGCCTGGTACTTTCTCCATAGCCTTACTTCTCATCAGCTTCCTCACTTCAGCTACTTCTTTCCACTTTTTAGCAGTTGCAAAGAAGTTAGAAACCAGAGTTTGGATTCCAATGCTATCCGGATTCAACTCAAGAATCTTATTAGCCGCAATGTCACCAACTAAAAGATTCCTGTGATTGATGCATCCTGAAAGCAGAGCAACCCAATTAGGCAAAGCATTATCAAGATTCTCAGAGTTTATCAAATCAAGAGCTTCTTCGACTCTCCCTGAACGTGCTAAAAGATCGATCAAACAAACGTAGTGTTTCTCGCTCGGTTTGATCTTATATCTGTTCACCATAGCCCTGAACCAATCTTGGCCTTGTTCCACTAGCCCCAAGTGGCTAAGAGCAGAGAGAAAGGAAGCAAAAGTCGCGTGGTCGGGCTCTACGTTTGATGATTCCGTCATTTCTTGGAACATCGATACAACTTCTTGACCCTTTCCATGGATTCCGTAGCAAGATATCATCGTGTTCCAACAAACCAAGTCTTTCTTTCCTATCTTCTCAAAGATCTCTCTCGAACTCGAAACCACGCCGCATTTCGAGTACATATCCATCAGCGCGGTCGCGGTCACTCGATCAAGAACGTGCCTTCTCAAGATGTAGCAATGTATTGATCTCCCAGTCTTTAATGACCCGACTTGCGAACACGCCAAGAGTACACCGACTAGAGCCACAAGATCCGGCTTAAACCCGAGTCTCTGCATCTCCACTACTGCTTCAAAGGCTTTATTCACTAACCCGTTTTGAGCAAACCCCGAGATCAACGATCCCCACGAGACCGAGGTTTTAACCATCATCATACTAAACATCCTTGAAGCAAGCTCTATAAACCCGACTTTCACATACATATCAACCACGCTCGTTTCAACTAGAACATTCATATGAATCAGACCTGTTCTGATCAAGAAACCGTGTACAGAACGGCCCATTATCGGATCCACGAGATCACCAAAAGCTTGTAAGAGACCAAGCATCGCAACACTATCTCTACCAAATCCTTCATTTTGCATCCCTCTGTAGAATTCAATCGCCTTCAACGACTTACCAGCTTGTGCAAACCCTGTCACCATTGTTGTCCAGCAAACAAGATCTCTTTTCGTCATCTTTTTGAAAAGAATCTCAGCTTCGTCGATCTTCTTGCACTTTATGTACAGATTCAAAACAGATGAGCATACAAAGACATCATTTTGATACCCAAATTCAACTGCTTTGCTCCATACCATCTCTCCTTTCTCTAAAAACATAGCGTTCAAGCACGCCTTGATCGTCACTGTGAACGTCGAGCTATCTGGTTTAATCCCTTCAGATATCATCTGATCGTAAAGACGGAGAACACCATCTGGTTTGTTTCCACGGGAATACACCAAAACCATGGAGTTGTAAACAGAGACACTTCTCTGAGGCAATTGGTCGAACACCTTACGGGCATGAGAGATCTCACCGAATCTCCCATAGGAAGCAATGAGATTTCCGCTAATGAAGCTTCCATGAAGTAAATGACCTGTAGTGATTACGAAAGCTTGGATCTGAGTGATGTGTCGCTTAAATTGAGTAACTGATAGCAGAGATTTGAGGCGTCTCGGACACAGAAGAGTCTGATGTATCATGCAGAAGAAATGTTTGTTGTCTGTTACCTTACAAACCAAACCCAGACCGAATCTTTGAGACCAATTCGAACCAAACAAAGTCAACGTAAGATGATCCGAAGTAATAAAGTCTCGTCTTGTTCTATGATGTGTGGATTCTGTTTGTCTGATAGTATTTTAATCGGTTAACAAACCGGAACGGTTAAAACAGTTGCACATACAAGTAGACCCTTGGGCAATCATCTTTGGTCCGATTTGGTTCAGAAAATTTCGGTGTACAGTAATTTGGAGAAAATGTTTTCGAAACTAATGAACGAAATGGACAATCAACACAACTATAACATTAAAGTCTTTCTATCGTTTGACACATCAGTTTTTTTAAGCTTTATAAACATGACACCTCAGCAAAAATAATCACTAATCAAAATATTTTATTAATACATCTCATTTACTTATTTTAATTTTTAAACTTAAATCCATTAAACACCCAAATATTTTTTATTAATTTTTGTTTTATTTTTTACCAAACCCAAGCCCAAATAATTAATAACAATAAATAAAAAATCATTATTTTATTTTTATCAAATCCAAATCCAAATAATAAATAAAAATAAATAAAAAATTAAATCATGGTTTTTTTTTTACCAAAACCAAATCTAAATAATAAATAACAACAAATAAATAATAAAAAAAATTCTAGCTATCTATTTGTTTGACATAGACATATATGATTGAAAAAGTGTAGACTCAGCATTAACTATGCTTCCATGCAACAACGCAAAAAGCTTTATGTTATAAGAAGCTCACACATCAGCAAAAATTTGAACCGATAAAAACATAACAATTTCTTAGTTTTCACGGGAAAACACAATTTCACGAGAGATAATGCAATTTTTGGTTTTTTCGCAGGAAATTGTAGTTTATTTGTTTTGTAGGAAAGAGTGGTTTGGGCTTGACGAGAAAATTATTTTTTTTGCAGGAATAGACGATTTCTCAGTTTTCGCAAGAATTTTTTTTTTTTCGATTTTGGCGAGAAAATATAATTTTTTTTTTTGGTTTTTGCAGGAAGATGAAATTTTTTGGTTTTTGTAAAAAAAAAAGTAATTTCTCGGCTTTAGTGGAAAAACACAGGTTCTCACGAGAAAATGAAATTTTAGGTTTTAGGTTTGACGAGTAAATAATTTTTTTTGGTTTTAGTGGGAATAGCCAATTTCTCAGTTTAATGGGAAAATAATTTTTTTTTGTTTTGACGAAAAATGCGATTTCTCGATTTTTGTAAGAAGATGAAATTTTACTGTGCTAAATTTCTAAGTTAAAGTATGTTTACAGTAACCAAAATTTAATTATTTAACTTTAACTAAAACGATATTTTAAGAGTTCAAACATAAATTTCTATTTAGTTCTAAAGCAATAGCAATAGTTTTGATATGAATGTTATTGATTATAGTTTGGTAGTTTTAGAAACATATGTTTATAATAAAATATTTGAAAAATAAATAAATTTTATAATTCAAAATAATTATATTAATTAATAAATCTTTTTAAATGGTATTTTGCTTTATATAATTACAAATGAGGATCATGTGGCAATTTATTGGAGAAGATAGATTACATTTGCCATTAGCATGAATGTACTAAATATGTATTGGTTTATTCTTATATATTTTATTCCTATATATACATTTATAATTAGTTAGCTAACTAAATTTAATAGCAAGTTATAATTTTGAAAAATAAAATAATAAAAATAGATAATGCTTATTCAGATTTAAAACATATAAATACATAGCTTAAGTTAATAAAAAAATAAATATAATACTCATTTACATTATAAAAGTAATTTTATTATATTAAAAATATATACAAAATCTAGATAAATATCCTGTAGCATAGCGCGGATAAATACCTAGTACTTTTAAATACAAATGGATACTTCCAATTTTATTGAACAAATTCAAACCGAAAGGGAAAACTAAACCGGCTCAAATCTCTGTTTTACTGAGAAGCAAACCCAGGAGATGAAGTTACCGAGAGATTCTTCAGCACTTGTGAACTAACGGTCGAGCCTTTAAGTAGAGCAGAGTACCAAAGAGCAGAGGTTTTCGGAGATCTTTTACGTTCTGGATCGCTAAAATTCACATAATATAATCCATATGTGTAGTTGGTATCAACAAACTCGTACAAATCCATTAACGACCATTGGAAGTAGCCTCTTGTATCTGATCCATTCCTGCAAATAATAAATTGTATGCGGTTTAATATTCGGTTAACTACGCAAGTCTTTTCAAAGAGCATATTTACACTTACACACCTCACTGGGTTGAGCATGGCAGCGATATAATAATGAAGGTATTCAACTCTTCTCACGTCATGAAGCGATGAATGGTGGTTGGTAGGTCGACCTGATTTTGTATTAACATTCAATTCAAACAACAAAGATTGTGTATTTACACAGATATTCTCAAAATTTGTAATGTTTGGTAAAGTAATTGAAAAGTTAGAGGAAAAAAAAAAGATCGTTTTCAAGAATGTAGACCGGAGGATTGCCATAGTTCTGCTTTATGTATTCCAATACTCCTTCAAGACCCCATGGAAGCACATCAATCTGTTGATATATGACAAGGAAACTCATGATTAAAATAGTGTTAGGGTGACAAAATAGGTTTCTTAAATTAGCAAGTCTTTGGAAATAGACCTCGGTAGAATCCCCAAAGGCTGTCCCAGAAAATGAAATAAAGAATCAACGTTGAACTCAGGTATATAAGACAGTTTAAAAAGAAGACAAAAGATCTTAGGAAAGCAAAGTATACGGATCAATGAAGCATTCATGTCTGACTTAAGACCTTCGTGGCCAGTTATGTGTGCGACATACATTGTTGTGCAGTGTGTGTCTCCCACAAAGTCGGACGAGTCTTTAATGAGATCTGATTCTTCTTGCGAAAAAATTGGCAATCTATTTCCAACGAGTCTTTTTATCACATCAGGATAGTCCTCAAGGCGGACGCAGAAAATTATTTAATATGGGGCATATATTTTTATTTATTTTAATTAATAAAATAATTTATCAAAAATATAGTATTAATAATAAAAAAATATCTATATAAAATAAAATGAAAAATTAGATTAAAATATTATGTGACAAAAAGATTTTAAAAAAAAACTCTTACAAACCTACCTAATGATTTTACTATTGGCTACATTAGGGCCAGTCTTGATCTAAAGTCCGTAAAACAAAGGTTTTAGATGCCAAATTATTAACAATTTCGGAGCATCAAATTTTATAAAAACCTTTAAGAGTAATGGTTTTAGTTAATGTTTATAGTTCATGTGGTATTGAGTTCGCATATCCAAAATGCATCATTTTTTATGGGCTTTAGGTGCTATATCACAACAGCCGGCACTGGATTAAGTAATATAAAAACACAAGCCAAAAAAACGAAAACATAGTATAAAATTGTGGATAAGTAAGTCAACACAATTTTATACTGTTTTTAATTTGGATTTTTGAATGGAATTTAAATTTTGCTAGTTTGAATACACAAATGGATAAATAAAACTTCAGTCTATATATATAACTACTACCCAAAAAAAATCAGTATGGGGCATGTGCCACCAAACTGTATATGTGCGTCCGCCCCTGATAGTCCCCAAACACCAGAGGGTGTAGAACACTGTAATTAATTTAAAGATGATTTTTTTTTACCCTTTTCATTAGAGCAGCCGAAGAAGAAGTTTTAAATAAAGAAAATTTTCTCGAGATGATTGCGTTCAGCAAACCAGCCTAAAAAGAAGTCTTTGGCTCTCTGAGTTGCGGTCTCATCCTCCTCAGTGTTCGTTAAAGGTACCACCCAGAAATGAGAGAGAGAGAGAGAGAGAGAGAGAGAGAGAGAGAGAGAGAGAGAGAGAGAGAGAGAGAGAGAGAGAGAGAGAGAGAGAGAGAGAGAGAGAGAGAAGCAAGCATTCAAGATATCAGGGCCAAGTGTGTGTGTAAGATTACCTGATACTTTTGCTTATACAATACAATCCTGCGATAGATGCGTGTGTGAGCAACATGTTATGGAGTGCAATTTATGGCTCGGTTGAAGTGTATCCTCTCAAGGAGTTGACCTTCACAATAGGAGGTATAAGTCCAGGTCCATAGTCTACCAATGATAGCATATTAGGCTCATTAATTGTTGACCAGAATTTCACTGTACTCCCAAACTCTCGGAAACAAACGTCAGCAAAAGCTGTGAAGTCATTGCTGCAACATATATATGTAAGATAGCACACTTTCACGTGAGAGTTATTATGAAAACAAATGTATTTGCAAGAACATGTTCTTTACATGATTTTTCGGCCAAGCCATCCTCTGTATTCATCTTCAAGGGCTTGAGGGAGGTCATTGTGATACAATGTAACATGGGGTTCAATTCCTGTTATCACCGTTCATCCCAATCAAAGAACAATAACAAAGTCAGATTCATGTTCTTACCATGTCGTTTGAGCTCAGCATAACTTACCATGCCTTTTGAGCTCATCAAATAGGTTTTTGTAGAACTGTAAACCCTTAGGATTCACCGGACCTCTTCCATCTGAAAGAAAAAAAAACGCATTTAAAACTCGAGCAAGGTAACAAACTCGTATTCACACACACACACGCACTTGGTATAAGCCGTGACAATGAGATGGAGAGTCGGATTGCATCTAAGCCCATGTCATACATCAGCCTTACGTCTTCCTTCAGCATTATTTTAGCTGAATGTTATCAAGATTTAAGCACTAAACATAGCATAAAGGAGTATGACCAAACCTTATATTTTTGATAACCATCACAGGCTACATCTTCGTTAGGTCCACCACCTAGACAAATCTATCAATTCTACATCAAATTACTTTATGAATTTTGTTGAACCAGAAAATCACCATTAGGGTTTGATTAATAGTTGTGGGTTTCAGAGAATAAATTTTTTTATTAATAGCAAGTTAGCGAAGCGATTGCAAAGAAAAGTATAACCGAGAGGTTACGATGAAGTGAAAAAGTGTTTTGTGAAGTAAACTAGAAAGCGTTAGAGTCTCTGAGATTAGCTTTGCTGCTCTTTCGAATGTATGAATTGTTCCTCTTAGCTTCGAGGTCTTCTTTATTTATAGGGATATCAGGTCGGTTGCTCCGATCTCTTTTTCCTTTTTGCCTTCGGTTAATATTTCCATATTTGTGATATGTAAATATCCTTTATTCTCCAAGAAATATAGAAATTCTCTTTTATCCTTCGAGCTGATCCGATGTTTCCGGTATTCGATGGTTATCTTCAGAATATTTCCTTTAATCCGAGCTAGGTCGGCGCGGTCTTCATGGTCCTGATGGGCTTAGGTTATTGCTAGAGAAAGCCATTTAGAAAATATGCTCATTTCCCCTCTAACAGTAAGTCCCCCCCTAGTCCGGCGAGACTGATTGTAAATCAGGTCGGCGGACTTCATGAAGTTATAAATGGGTTTGATCTCGCAATAAACGTTAGCTCGTCGAGAGCGTTGTTTCGCTATGGCCAGCTCGGCCTGATTTTAAGTGGACTTGACGCGTGGCGTTCTTCAAGAATTTAATTATTAAATATTCTGACCCAATTTTAGGATTTTGCTTTCAAGCAGGAAAGGCGAAAGGTTCGCCAAGCGGCGAGATTGCGCGAATCTTGACACGCGTTTTTTTTAAGAAACTGTTGATATTTCTTTTTGAGTTTATTACTTTACTTCTTCGTCTTCTTGCTCCAGATATCTCTTTGTCTTCTTACTCCAGAAAACTCTTAACTTTCTTCTGTTTTGTGGTAAATTCTCTTTCTTTTCTGTCGATCTTCCATTTGTTCTTTTAATCCAAAAATTTTCAAAAATGTCAGCTTCGTCTTCGAACTCTTCTTTTGATGATGACGAGATTTGTCTCGCCAACCGTGCCAAGTAAGCCTGGATTAGTCCAGTCGCTTCTTCCTCTTCTAACTCCGAGGGGTCCTCGGGTTATCAGGATGAGATTCTATCGGATCATCCTGACGCGGAGTCCGAAATGGACTTGGATGGTCCCGGGCCAGCGAGCTTCGAGTCAGAGAGCAGAATCGAAGGTCTTTCGCAGAAGGTCGCAATGTCGAGGCATAGGACCGGCATTAAAGACGGGAGGACCTGGATGACTGCGGAAAGACTCCAGGAGCTTTGCTCGAAGTGCCGTTTTCTCGAGGGGGTCGAGCTTCTACTTCCCCAGGTTCACGAGAGAGTGACTACACCCCCAGAAGGCTATTTCTGTTCTTACAAGTGCCACTTCGCGGAGTTTGGCCTTCAGTTCCCAATTTCACTGCTTCTCCGTTACTGTGAACGGAGGAAGATGCCGGTGGCGCAGCTTTCTCATGCTGTAATTTGTCACTTCAGCAGCCTGGCAGCGGTAGGTCGTGCGGCAATGGTTCCCTTTAAATAGGATATTTTCGAAAGGATATTCGTTCTGAAGAAAGGAAGGATGAACCGCGGCAGGTGGCGCCATTTTTACACCGCGATGAAGGAGGAAATCATCGGCGGGGACCCGACAAGTAAGGTTCACGAATGGGACCGGTTTTTCTTCTACATGAAGATTAACGAAGCATCCATTGGCGGTTCCGATCTTACCTTATTCAAGACTTGGAGGTCGAAACCATGTAAGGCGAACCGAGTTTTCTTTACCCCCTTGTTTTTTACTACTCCCCGGATGCTAATGTGTATTTGTCTTGTTATGGTAATGGCAATACGTCTTGGAGATGACCCGATCGGGTTTGACGACGATGTTAAGAGGCTGCGCGTCCTGAGCCAGCAGCTGTGGTCCGAGAAGGAGAAGAAAGGGGCTGCTAAAAAGAAAGCAGCCAGTCCTGCCGAGAAGAAGGTCAAACCTCCAAGACCAGGTAGACTGCTAGATTGACGTAGTTTTTAATTAGTGCTTGGTGACGAGATCTTATTGACGCATTTGTTTCTCAGCTCCTCGGAGGACTTCGCAGCCGAAACCCATAGGGGCTGGCCGAAAGAAGAGGAAGGCGGCTTCGCCGGGTGCCGCATATGCTCCTGCGAGTTCTTCTGTAAAGAAGAAGAGGACGACTTCCCAGGATCCACCTGGTTTTGTGGATTTTGATGATGCCGAACCGGCTGCTGAGAACGAGACTCTTGCGAGGTAAACTCTTTTTCTGGCCTCGCGTGTTATTGTATCATGCCGAGGAGAACTTTTGACGTTATATTGCTATTGTTTTTTTTTAAAAAAAGCTTCTCCAGGGCGGCAGCGCTGGAGAGATTGAGGCAGGCACGAACTGAGAGAGCTGCGAGGGGTTCTCAGGGTGAAGTGTCTCAAAACCCTGCCTCTCGAGTCGTGGATGGTGGTGATGGGGTCGCTTCCGACGTTTCCGGGAGCTGTCGCAAGGTTGCTTCCTCCCCTCCCAAAGTTGATATCCCTGCGGCGTCCCGGACCGATGTACCTTTGTCGTCCCGAGCGGACATTCATTTGCCACCTTGGACAGATGTGACTCAAAGTCCTGAGACTCATGTCGCAGAAGACGTAGATCGGGAAAGGATCTAGGAGCCTGCCACGGCTCATTCTAAAGGGCCGACCCCTCCCGAAGTTGCTCCGGACATGGAAGATGCTGGTCCTAGCGCTCTTGAGGAGGTTGCTCCTTCTCAAAAGGTCTCGGGCACTGATGGTGCCAATCCGAGTGCTCCGACCGAGCCCAAGCAGGAGGAGGAGTCTTTTGATTACAATCCTCACCACTTTTGCGCGAGATGGGATGGAACTACTCCGGCGATGCTTAATCGCGATTTTACCGCGAACCTGATCTGGAAGTGTAGGAAGAAACCTCGATGAGGTAAGCCACTTCGAGAGCTGAAGCTGGCGGTATCCATATCTTCAGCGAGTCAAATGATAGCTCGCGTATTTTTCATTTATTCCTTGGTTGTAAATGTGTTGTGCCCCTTTTATTGCGTGTTTTCTGACAATAGGTTGCGATGTAGGGCTTGGGAGCGTATTGATAGGGCTCAGGTTTTACCCAAATAAAACTACTGCAAGTGCACAGCAAAGCAGTTGTAGTACAAGGAGTATCGAAATCCCAAGAGAGTAATGCAGACTACACTATCGAATGTAGATTCGGATTAAGCTAAGAAAGATATGATGTATGTAATGCGAATGAATGAATGAAAGTAAGCAAACGATTTTGTAAGATAATCTAAGTTCTAGAAGACTAAAAGCGCTAAGTCAGGACAGTTCGCAGGTTGAATCCAAGAATGTATGACGCAGGAAATCAGGAATGATTAAGAACCGTTTTAAACATGAATCACTAATGCATAACTAATCAATTCTCATTGCAAAAGTTATCTATGCCTAAATCACAGAGTTTCAAATCTCTTTGCAAACTCTAACAACCTAAGCATGCAGGAATGATCAGATTCAATTGTTTACAAAACTCCTAAGCCAAATCTCTTTGCACTAAGTTGTTTTGTTCATCAAATACTAGTTCAGGTTATGAATAATGCTCTCACATATATTTAACAACCTAAGATCTTCATGTAAATAAAGGAACTTCTTCTTCACACACTTTTGCAAATCTTCTTCATACTTTTAATAAAACAGCCACGCTCCTTCCTTAATGGGTGACGAGCGCCACCAAAGGTGGTGACGAGCGTCACCATATGTGATACTTTCTGCTTCGAGCTTGGTACTTCGTGGCTTCCACCCAGAATGCTCCAAAAGGTTCCAAAATCTCCAATTATGCTCCAGACATGCTATAACCTGCAAAGACTCTTCTAGAACTCTAAAAAGACTAAAAGACTCAATAAAAAGGACTTATATCATGGTTAAAAACCATAAAAACCATGATATATCAACTCCCCCAGATATAGCTTTTGCTTGCCCTCAAGCAAACATCAGACAAAGAATAAAGTCGAGGTTTGAAAACAAGAAACAGTCAGTCAGTCATCAGGAACACCATACTAGTTAGAGATTTCGAATCCACATACCACATAGTCAACACAAGGTCAAATTTCAGTCTAATTATCACAAGCTTAGCAAATCTCTCAAGTCCAGTCCAAATCCCTTCAAGAAATCCGAAATTTCTACTGTTAACTCCTCATTTTTTTATCTAAGTGTGATATCTCATCAAGGCTCTATCATCTCAATCACTTTACAGATTCTTTTCCCTTCCTAGCAACTGAACAAATAGATCTCAACACAGCTCTCCTATTTTATCTTCCCTTGATCTTTTCCTTTGGATATTTTCGATTTTTTACTTCTTTTTCTCAACTTTTACAGTCTAAGATATGGGGCTACTCAATACTTGCGTTCTTTGTGAGGAGACAGGTTCTTGAGTGTGTTCACTACTGTTGTTCCTTGTGAGGAGACAGGGTCATGAATGCACCATTCTTTGGACTTAATCTTTTAAAAACTACATCAGGGAAGATCAAAGAGAGACCGTATTTTAACCTTATTTTCAGTGCTGAAAGAGAGAATCAGGATCAGTAAGAATCAATCACCAAGACAAGAAGTTTAAAGTTCATTAAGGTGGAGCTAACAACAAATTTTTCAGACTCTCTAAGAACCTAAACTTTCATTGCTAGACTGATCTACCTATGACTTTCAACTTAGTAAGACTTGTAATCAACTACTGTGGCAATGGTTCTTATCAGCAAAAACGTCCTATGGTTAGTTCCAAGAAAAACTGACAGTTTCAAAAATTTTGACTCTAGAAAAACAGGTTTTTTACTCAACTTTAAGAC